AGCAAAAAATAATTATGTTTGTGTAAAACACAAACAATAGCGCAGAGTCATGGATTATATGCATGTCTTGTGTTTGTATGGTTATCAAAGAAGCTGCAATAAAGTGGCAATCATAAAGGGAAGGAGGAAAAAAAAAATCAAATAGAAAAGAAAAACATCTTATTGATTTGTTCTGCCAAAACCACTATATACATAAAATACTGAAAATGTAGCAGGTCTGTAACTAGTATCAAAGTTTCTTTGGTTCAAAATCACACAGAACGCTAGCAATGTGCTTTAAATTAAGTACCCATTTCAAAGGTTAACAAGACTATTCCTTAGGCAGAAGAACAAAGAGGAGCTGGTTGAAGAAAATTGGGTACACTACAGCTACTTAAAATACTGTATCCAGGCACAACTCATTTGGATGCCTTTGAGCTCAAAGCTAATTTGAATTATACAGAGGGGCTTTAAAGAACAAAAATACTAAACCTGTGTTTTATCTAAGCTCTTTTAGCTGAACCGAGCTACTAATTGAAAATCTTCACTACTCTTCCAAATTTCTGATCTATTTTTTCAACAGAGTAATAAAGCCATCTAAAAGCTCTGTCCTTCCTCACAGAAGAGTGTTAACATTTGCATCTCTGAAATGCCTTGTCATCTAATGGTTTTGCTAATAACATGTCTGTCATCTGCCTTGACTGTATCTCTCATAGCCAAATTAAAAATGTGGTGCTGTGGGACTTGTGAATGCAATACTGATGCATACGCCAACATTCTTTTCAGTGACAGTACTACATGAGTTTACGATCCAGGCACCGCTTAAACGCAACAATATCTCTCAAATAATACATTAAACAGATGTGTACCTGGTCTTATAAATATGTGACATAAAAATCTATTGGCTTGGTCAGTGTGCATATTAAAAACCATTCAAGTAGGTCAAATTGTGGATAACTTAGAACTTTAAAGACAGCAATTTTAATAAAACTGTCAATACAATTTTCTTTGTAAAAACATTTGACACTGATTATGCTGCTTATATTGAAAGAGAAACACAAGGTCTATATCTTTAGATCTTTTATTGAACTGTGAGCACAGCATCAATAACTGCTTCTCAGCTGTAAATGAAAATTGATTCCAGATCTAACCCGTCGTTTTCTGTGTGTCTCTAATCCCAAATCAGCCACAACCAGACATAAGAATCAGCATTTTGTCTATGGGAAAAAGCATGTGTCGTATGGCCAGCCTCAAAGTGTCTACACTGGAGATACCGCGGGGTGTGTTTACATGTGTTAGATGTAGGTGGTGACTGTGGTCTCTCCAAAAGAGGCCCCAAAAGTGATGAAGGGAGCTTGCAGCTGGTGCGGAGTAACTTGTAACTTGCCTCACGCTCTACCGCAATCATAGACCACCATCTATATGGTCCAAAGCTTTACAGATCTGAAGTTTGAAGGCACCTGCAATGAATACTGGACCTCCTGCACGTCACAGTCCAAAGAAATTCACTTGACAACTTCTGTGTCAAGCCCGCAACTGCCAGAAGTCTAAAAGGAGAGGGAAATCACAATGTTTCCATGCAATTTGCAGCAGTCTGGTACCAGTAGTTTGGACTTTCAGTCAGCTCTCACTTGCTGAAGCCTGTTAAGCCCTCTGGGGTGAAGATAAAGTGTATAGCCTCCTTACAGGAATCTTTTTCTTGGCGATACGTTGCTAGGCCATCATCATGTGTGCCTTAATGAAACAAGACCTAACACTTATAGTAAAGATCGTGTTTGTAACTCTTAGGAACCATTTTCAGTTACTCAAAATCCTGTTTGAAAAGCGAATGCTAAAAGTGAGCAGCACATTCAGTAACAGCCTTGCTAATACTATCTATAGAATAAATACCCTCTACTGACTTCAACCTGGTAAGTTCTCATCCTATCCAGAAATCAGGCTCGATTTCTTAATTATATGACTGACTGGAGCTACCATGTGTGTTTCGTTTCTCCTCAGCAGTGGGGGGAGAAAAAGATGTTTAACACCTGAAAGATCATGAGGTCCACAGACCCCTTAAATAAATACAATACAGATTGGAATAAGCATGCTCATTCACAGGAGTGAGAAAGTAAGACAGAGGAGCTTTGTTTCTTGCACACAAGCTTCTAACAATCTTCCACCATGAAAAATGGACTACTGGTAGTCTCAGAAGACAGGCTGATAGATCAAACTCTCCCCGCATACTATAGATATTCATTAATCAAAGCGTGTTTATGGATCAGTGTCACTTCCACCTCTGCCATGTACAGACTGAAGGGTTCCAAGCAATTCTCAAAGGGCAAATTCAAGAGGGCTCCCTACCGACCACTGTTCTCAAAAAATTTCAATTTCCTTGAAATACAAGTAGAGATTAAGATAACAAACCTGACTTTTACATATTGTGTTTTTATTAATGAAAATGAGTAATTGCTAGCTCATGTTTCCCATAGGCTGCAAGCCTATAACAAAAAAAAATAGAAATATTGCATAAACTGTTAGAATGGTTTTGAGCTAAGTTATTTTCTCTCGCTGTCAGAATGCACATGTGTGTACAGCTGAACTACAATGGGCATCTGACTACAAAATCTTTATGTTAAAAAAAGTGAAAGTATTTTTCTAACCTTGGCTCTGCAGCTGAACACAAAACATTGCAATTGCCTTGATCCGTCCTTCATGAGTGAATATATTATACCCTTTTTGGAAAAAATACTTTGCAGTCAAAAGACATTGCAGTTACTTTGTTGATGTTTATGTGTCTGACCAGCGGGCCAGATCAACCCTCCTTTCCATTCCCACTCTCCTCTCTTTAAAGAGACATGGCAGAAGCTGCCAAAGTGTGAAGGCACCAGCAGTGTAACGCATGAGTGACGCAGCAGAGCCACGCTGCTCAGCTTTGCAAGGCCTTTGCCCAGGATGCGAGGTGTGACAAAAATCCAAAGGATGCAACAGAGTCATTAATTCAGGAAACTGAAAAAGCTGCAGGATTCTTTCTTATAATGTGTATAACTTTGTCTGTACTTCTATTTGTAAAACAAATAAAAGAGAGGCAACCACACATGTGGGGTGACATAGGAAAGGTGAAGGTTTCCCCTGAAGTGCAGGGCATTTACAAAATATGCTCAGCGTGTTTCTTGTCCAGACAGTTCGTTTTTTATGTGATTGAAAGCGTTCATGTTTGGAATCCCTAAACAAACAGACCACAATCTGTTTCTTAAGAAGATATTTGGGAGAGCTTAGGAGATCTGAATAAATTCTAATCACTTCAACTGAGATGAAGCTCTCATTGCCAAAAGGAAAAACATTTTCTATGTACTATAAAATTTTCAGAAATTACATGAAGGTTTCTTATTGTGCTCCCTTGTTTGCCTGCAGCTTTCCAGTAAGGAAAGCCTCATGAAGTTCTGGTGCAGTTCGAGGCTTCCTACAGCTCGGGCACATCACCAGCACATACGGACTCAGGCTGCAGCCCCTGAACTGCTCGCACGCACGATGCTGCCTCTGGGTAAGCGGCACGCACGTCCTGCACGACAGCGGTGATGTTTTGAGAGTTACCAATACCTCATCGTGCTGTGTGGACATACCTGCTTGGAATTAACATCAGAGAGTGTAAACTGAGTAAATTTGGTATAAACCTACTTAAGTCACTAGAAGACTATTATCACAGGAAAACAAAAGTAATTCCTACCTGATAACATATTCCCATTTCTTTACCGCAGTACACAATGTCATTTTACAGGACTATTTGGGCAAATTTCCAATAGACCACGAAACCTACTGGTTTCACAAGGCACCATGTTTGTACAACAGTGCATTGCACAAGTACAGGCTTTTTGATCCTTTGGCTTCAGATGAGAATGCAAGCTTAACTTGGTGCTAAAAAACACTGACTTGTATGACTAAGGGGTCAACTGACACCAGAAAGCAAATCTTTCCTGCCACGATCCTAAAGGACAAATAAGGTAGGCTGAAGGAGAACATTTAGGTGGCCTAAAAATAAATAAGAATGAAAAATCGAGTTATAATGAATATTCCCCAGACTGAAGAGATGATCTTATACTGAATTACACCATTACCTTCCTCTCTACTGCACGTTTAAATATCTGAGCCTATTGCAAATATAAAGTAACATGAAGAATGAATTTAACTCAAAGTCTTTTTTGCTTCTGATACAAACGTTGAGAATATGAATTTCACTAGCTTCATTTCCGAGCATTATCCATAAATATTTATAAAGTGGGAAGGATAGAGAATGACATAAGACAGTTTTCTGAAAATGATTCTTCATTAAGGTCCCAAGTAAGTTGAGAGACTTTCAGTATTGATTTACAGCTACATTCTCAAGATTTTCCCTCTCACAAATGGGAATCACTGGACTACTGACTATGGACTCTCAGTCCTTTACTCACTGGCTGGAACAAAATTTACAGGCCCAATCTTCTCAGATACAATGACACAAACAAATTGCAAAGCACAAACCAACTCTGCAGTTGTGTTGGTGGTCTGATGTGGTCATTATACACTCACTTCCAAAAAAAGTCATCAATTTCAGAAAGAGAGTGTGAAACAAGTGGAAGAGGCGTCCCTGCCCATGACAGGGAGGTTGGACTAGATGATCTCTAAGGTCCCTTCCAGCCTATGCTATTCTGTGATTCTGTGAAGCTCTTCAACATTTAGTTTGGTACAAGGAAGGTAGAAACTCAGAGCACTTTAGCTATTCCCGGGTGACGTGTGTGGCCTCTTATTCCAACACTAGTAAGTCATGTTTTGCTTCAGTTTAATCCACTTCACAATGTTAATTCAGCAAAACTGACAAAATGCATTCCTGTTTAAGAATGTTTCCCTCCACAGAGGTTCTATACGCAAGTAATATTTAAGCTGATGGATTCTGCAGCACCCCAAAATGCTTTTGATGCAAATATAGTAAATCAACATACAATCTCATTCAATGACACAACTTTGTCGGACTGTGTGGTCTATGCACGCACACCAGATGCACTTACCTGTTCACTGTCATCTTCATCACTGCTTAGTTTCAGATCATCCTCAAGCATTCTGAAAAAAGAGAGACAATAAAAGCTTTACTTTTAATGAACTAACTTTATATACTGAATCTACCCTTCAGCAAAGTCAGAGGAAAAACTCCCTTTCAATTCAACAACAGCAAAATCAGATCCATCAATAAGTAAACCGATTAATACTCCATGCATCAGTCCTTCTGTGATACGCTAGGTAAGAACAGATGACTTCCAGACTCAACCACCATGAAGCACAGCAGTCAGCTCTTCTTTCATATCCTCTTTTAATTTGTACATTCTCTCATGGCGATTAGTCCATATACACCTGTGTGTATGTCTAATCCTGAAAGTGGAAGGGAAATTCACCCCTGAGACAGTTGAAAATGAGAAAAATTCCTCCAAGTTTCATTCTTGATCAACAGCATCACTGACCTTTTCTGAGGCTGGTACCAATCCCCATGTTCTCAAACTGAAAATGCAGAGCAAAGAATAGCAAGAAGAAAAGGAGCTCATCTGAGGTTTGATGGGACCTCACAGTTGTTAGTATCTCAATGCAAAGTAAACATTTTCCCAGCTAGGAATCTGTTAACTTACATCTGTATTTTTAATTTATTTTTTTTTTAATACAGGGAAGTCTCACATGACTGCTCCCTGCCCTTGGTTAAAGGGGAAGGAAACTCCTAAAAGATGTAACTGTCCCAATGCCTCTTTCCTTTCTGTTGGCAAAGAAAGAGCTGAACAATGCATAATACTATATTAACATTCATCTTGTATTACTTTTTTTTTTTTAATCCAAGACTTTGCTATGTCAAAATACATGGGGTAAGAAACCATATTATTTGCTGTTACATCTTTGCAGAAAACTTTTCTTCTTTTGAGGTCTATCTAAAGAGAAATGACTAGCAGTGACCAAATACAGTCCCACACAGCTTCCCATGTATTCATGTTTTTATCTGGTGGTCCTCCTCAGAATTGATATTCCTCTGGGCACACTTCTACCTAACACCCATCTTTTCATCCTGACAAATTCTCTTACCAGAGGATGACGTATGAGTGAACTGGCACATCTCACCCAGATCCACCATGAGAGCCACTAAAATTGTTGAGCTTCCTTTCTCCCAGCCTGAGCTCCTTTACTCATGGCAGGAGGCTCACAAATTGCAATTACTGTTTCCCTTCTGCCTTGATGGAGACTGAAGTCTATGATTTTTTTACTGTTAGCCTTTAAATAACTGCAGCAATCAATGGAAGTTCTGTTAGGAGGTTTTTTTGGTTGTTGTTTGAAGACTGCCAGTAAATCATGGAAGCCTTGTGATATAAGGAATTTTAAAGAGAGGACAATAATCCCAACGTTGAAATACCAGAAGGTTCAAATCCCTGACAGTGCTCTTAAAAAGAGAAAGTGCAAGGAGATCTTTAAATCGGTTTGTAAGTCATCTGTCTTTCGGTGACCTCTGTTGTCGGGCAGCTCACTGGTTACAAAGAATCTGGACACATAACTACTAGTCATTAACATCTTGATAAATGGCAGATGCCTCCCTGTAATATGTGAACCCATAAAAGTAAGACTGTAGCACGGATAAAGAATCTTCTAAAAGTAAGAATTTGAGGTGAGTTGACCTTGGCTGGATGCCAGGTGCCCACCAAGCAGCTCTATCGCTCCCCTCCTCAGGTCGATGGGGGAGAGAAAATGTGACAAAAGGCTCATAGCTTAAGGACAGGGAGATCACAGGCCAGACACACTTGGCTTGGGGAAATTAATTTCTTACCAGTCAAATCAGACTAGAAGAATGACAAGTAAACCCAAATCTTAGAACACCCTTCCTCCACCCCTCCCTTTTTCCTGGGCTCAGCTTCCCCAGTGCCATTCCTTGCCGTGCCATTCTCAGGGCATCACTGCACCTCCACCTATCTCCAGTCCCAGCCCGTTCCCTGCGAGTCTCATCCCACAACAGCAGGACAATATCCCCAGGAAACCGAGACCATCTTCATATGGGACTGCATCATTCTGACTTTTAACTCTAATTCCATCCTACACTCCTACTTTTAAACCTACATCTCATTTTAATGTGTAAATTATCCCCTGCTATAAAGCAGCACCACTAGATAATGCACTCCATTATTATTTTTTAATGCAGATCTAAGAGGACATAAAGCAAAGGATCTTTGCGCGAATGAAGCCCAAAGGGTGGTGTGTTTTCTTCTTTCCAGCTATCAGAATTTTCTTCATTTGTTACATGTTAAATTTCTTTTTAACATATCCTGGTAGAAATAAACCAAAAAGAACAAAAGAAATTCTGTATTGGATAAATGGAAAGAACAAAGAAGAAAACATAAAACAGATAAATGAATACACTTACTAAACTAACCAAACAGCCATCTAAAATGATTGATTAATAACTGTCCTCATACACCCTATGCTGCAGACACTTTCTATCAAGTACAGTAAGCGCAAGACATGTTTATTGAATATTGAAAAATATAAAATGGATATAAAACATGATAAGTAGGAAGGACAACTGTTAGAGTTGGTTTCACATAAACTAAATTTGTAGGATTTATGAGTTCTCTTCAAGAGACTAATGGATGTTTAGATGACTAGAGAGAGGAAAAAAATTGGATTTTGGTATTTCTTTAACAGTTCCAAGCTTATCACTTGGAGTACACAATTCTTCTTAGCTTGTTCTGCTAAATGAAGAATATGTCATCCCATTCAGTTACAAAACTCAAAGGTTAAACAACTAAAGCACAGAGCCTAGAAAATGCATCACACTCTCTTGGCAGATGGAATAATTAAAGAGAAACTGAGTACGGTATCAACAATAAATATACACTAGTCAGAGAAGTGAGGGAATAAATTAAAAACACATGGTATGTGCAAATGAAAGTAGAATGCTGAAGAGTTCAAACAACCTGCTCCCAGAGGATATTGGTTAGAAGAGGTAATATTTAAAGCAAGCACAGGACTCTATGGTCCTTCCACGATTTTAAAATGTGCTTAATATTCTGAAGACACGAGTCACGGTAGCTTGTGCTGTTTAATGCTTCTATTAACTCTCATTTATAAGCAAGTAGCATCTGATCACACTCAAAGCCCAATAAGGGCTTTTTAAGATTGCCAGCAACCTTAATCCAAGGTGACTATTTCACTATCTTATCCGGAGAAGGAACCCATTTCAGCTTCAAAGCCCTGAGACAGAAGAGCTCTGTATCTACAGCTCCCTCAAACACGGCTTGAACGTGAAATTAGACCCTCTTGAGCGAGCGCTCCCTGTAAACACGCACGGGATCTCTTCTGCTCTAGGTAATTGTTAACCTCAGAAACACCCAGGCTGGAGATTACAGAGTGCACTTGTCATGAAGATCAGGGTGGCTATTCATAAAGGCCAATTTGCTGGATATGTTAAAGTTACAATGAATGCTGTCAATGAGGGCAAATCAAAATAGAAAACTACCTGTATCAGAAAGCTATCTCCAGAGGTGTTATAAATTCATTTTACTTCCTATTCTTCTCTGACCCAGTTGACATTATTATTGAATATACATGTACTTGTTTGTCTTTTCATCCATAGCTAATGCAAAAC